AAGGTCTGCGCACGCCTATGATGACACATGCGACTATATTACTATATAAGTAGGTACACATGACCATCGCACACAATCACGCTACAATGTAGGTATTTGTTCTGTAAGACTGTAGGTACTTTACTACTTTACTACTTATGAACTAACTTATTAACTATAATGAGTTATGACTTATAAGTCTTATGACATTGTATTCTAAGATTCTGGTCTGGTCTAGTCTGATGATAGACGTCCGAGGAACGGGTTCATCACACGCAGGGGAGTAATTAAAGGGGATTAGGGGGATAGATCCCCCCAAAACTTTTTTTTTAATTCTAACATTTTGATCAAAGGATTGGTAATGACTAATGACTATTAATGTTTATTGTGATTCAAAAGCGTGACAATTTCTACCCCGCGATGATAAGTGAAACCTGCTGTGTCTTCATACTTGGTGCATATTTACAGGGTTTGTCTTTTAAATAAATAGAGGCCCTGTGAACTATTGACTATGGGCCCTTTGTAATTAAAAATATTGGTAAAAATTAAGAAAAAAGGTTAAGTTAGCTGACTACAAAATAGAAGTTTAACCCGTAAATCACAAAAAATTTTTCAAAGTTAAAAATTACAATACGCATTTTTTTTTGTGAATTCAGATAGTACCTATCTTCAAACTTTAATATTTTTTTGTTATATATTATGATTGATTTCCAATTATGATAAAGAGTAGTTTTTTTGTGTTAAAGAAGAGCTCATGCGAGTTTTATATTATGTTTTACTTTTTAAGTACCTACACTTTTTTGGTATAGACTATATTGAGTTGTAAAGACCACTGACCAGGGGCTAGACATTTTGAGGCCACGTGCGTTGGTGCACCGCATGCGTATGCATACGTAAGTTAGCCGTTAGGGCCTGCTTATAATATAGGTATCGACCTTGGTACCGATAACTCATAACTGATTGATATATTTGTTTATTATAATTTCCAACACCCAAGGGGCAGAAAGTACGGTTTTAGTTAATGCAATGATATAAAAAATTCATTCAATAATATAGGTATACATAATAAGAGGTTAATATTATTATAAAAAAATCAAAATTTTTCAAATCCATATGACTGTATTAATACTATAGTACCTACTATACTAAATACTAATGTACGATTTATTGGGCTGTATAGAACAAAATTAAATTTACAATATTATCGACGTAAAAAATGTTAGTAGAGCGAGTATTTATTTGTGGTATTCTAAAATTAATTGTATTTAACAGTTCAAGACTCAAGTCATACTATTTTACTGGTTAGTATTTTTTTATAGAAACAAGACATCATTATAATTTCTCAGCGATGATAAAGATTAAAGACATAATATTAAATTTTAATTTTTCTTTCTATATCAGATACTGGTTGACCCTATAAACTTAATTTAAAACCGATCATACGAAATCATCTTAGAAGTTTAAACCTTATCAATTTTGTTAATTATACCTGTTTTTATAGGGTTCCATATGATATACACGAAGTGTATTATATGCACTTGATTTTTGCCGATAACTGAAATTATTAACGTTTATATGTTGGTTCAGAACCGATTTGATGGTGCTGAATAATTTAATTTTTTCAGTGTCATATTAGACGCACGATTATAATATATCATTAGTGTAACGACACTATAATTCAGTTTTACTTCAATATGTGTATATAAATAAAGATTTAAAATATTCAACACGCACGTGTTATTTTATAGCTGAGGTAGCTATTATATAGAAATATTTAAGAAACAAAAAATGCCACGTCAGAAAATATTGAAATTGGAATATACGAAATATGTCCGATTAATGATTATGATAAAAACATGCAACAAACCGTGAGATCCAATATATTATTATTATTGATATATTCCTGTTTAAAGTTTTACAAATTACAATAATGTAGGTATTTATACATACTTACACTGATACACCACATCACTATCACACGTATTATTAATATAGACTATACAGAACTTAAATAATTATAAGCACTTGCATAACGTGCTTTCATACAGCGCACAACAGAGACAATAAAAATAGGTAGGTACCTAATCGTTTTTCGCTAAACAAATTTTTACGTATTAATATTGTATAGGGACTAGGGTGGGTACCTAATACATATAAATATTATAGGTATCATCCAATTTTTAACTATATTAATCGAAATATCTGCAGTTAAATTGTTCATTGACATATTGCTATATTTTATACTTGAAACTGTACCTACTTTTGATATCTGAATACAATTTTGAGTTTTATATTTGAGGCATTAGACGCTATATAATTTTGTAGATGGTAGATAATATTTAGTACATATGTGTATTGTACTGGAACCGATATTGATACAGGCATGTAGTTTATGTGCTATATGGAATTTTTCCTTGCTAACTGCTAATGACTTTGATTGTTTTGATTGTTTTCGAGTTATGTGTAAATTATATTTGAATTCGATCTGGATAAAATAAGGAATTTAATTAATGTTTTTTTTTGTAAAAACCATGCTGAAACCGGAGCAGACATTTTTGTTTTTCTATAAATCAAACTGAAATCGTAAAAGCTATTGTACAATGTAAGCATATAGGCATCCATATATTAATAATAATTGTGTATAATTTTAGAGATGTTTGTAATGTTTTGTAACTTTAGATAAACACTCATAGGTAATTAGTGATAATTTCTGATTAACACCACCTCAAAAAAAAAAAGAAGTGAAGTATGGTATGGTTCACGAGTTCATGATATTCGTTCGATGTGCATCATTATTATTATGCATTTTTGCTGTAACAGTAATCATCACTAATCACTAATCAGCATAATATCTTTTTTTTCGTTTTAGTATACCTACCACTTTATGGAGGCTATAATACCGGCGTACTGTTTCCACAAGGCTATATTGGCACAAACTAAACATTGTAGGTACTACACTACTACACGTGCAGCTGTATATTTGTAGGCATATCAGTAGGTATAGTATTTATCGTGGCTTATATTTGATACCTACCTATTTGATAATACATTATTATTGTTTGTTACCACTTAAGTTATTACAAATAATATAATTAAAACCTATTAAACTGTGAGTTATAAATTATGTGTACTTTGTACTCCTAATTGTATACACTCTTTGTATAAAATCTTATTTAAAAATTTTATTTGCAAGTCACCATAAATTAGTTCCTCTAAATAATTTTAGTTCTTTTACGTATTTAAGTATTTTATATAAACTCTTAATTGAATACCTATACGTGTGTCTACGTGACAACTACACTATATGTTACGATTTAGGGTTCCTTATACAATACTGCAACTTGCCAAAACGAGTGGATTAAACAATGGATGAATTAAAATAGAACACTGAACGCTGATAAACATATTAACAAACTGCCAGTTTGGCAGCTATTAAAATATAATAATCGATTTTTAAGAACAACTAGGTATTTTATAAATTGTTATCGTTTTTTTTTTTTTTGCAATATTGCATTAAACATTGAATAAATAAATTGTTAAAAACAAATAACTGAACTACCAAAGGAAATGTTCGATTTCTGAACAAAATGTTTGATAATAATTTTATATTTTATATTTTAATTTTAAAGCGATCTATGAGTATTTTAAAATGTACAAACAATTTACAATTTTAAAATACTCATAACAAGCTTTAAAATAAAAACATAATAACAATTCTATGACGTTGCCTAGATAATAATCTTACCTTTAAATTGTATAAGAGGTAAATTCACTCTAGTTTTTAAGCCAACGGAGCTAAACATGATCTGCTGAGCGTAAAATATTCCATGTTATGCACTTGTAAGACGGAGACAACAAATGTCGGTGTAATGTCTTCTTAATTAAAGAATATTTTTTTAAAAAAAATCTGAATATTTTGTTCTTGATTATGCCATGTTTATTTCCTTTATAAACAATGCTTTCAATTTTCATGCATATTTTCTGTACAAAATAATTTCGATGTTTTACATCTGCCATGCTTACTTTTTAGTTTTTTTTTTTTTAAATATTCGATAAATTGATAAATTTGATTTTTTTTAAATAATTATTACTACTTAAAATGCCAATCTTTCAAAATAATTGATCTCTTCTAATAACATTTGATCATTAAATTATTATTTAGTATAATATTCACTAACATTTTTATATTTAACACTATTAGGTACTTACAAAATATTTTTTGAAAATATTTAAGTATTGTTAATACAAACAAATGTGCATATACAAATAAATGTCGTATTAACAAAGTATTCGGACATGTGTACCAATATTCTAGGTATTATTTAATTTAAAAAATACATAGGTATTATATAGTTTCAAATTTTCCAGTTTACAAAAAAATCAAGATATCAGAGACATGTCTTAAGATTAAAAACGTTAACAATCCGAAGAATTTCAGTAATTTGGAGATTCTAAACAGAGGTTGTACAAACGAGTAATGTCGTATATATATTATAATTTATAGTCGTAGTGTTATCGTGTCGGATGATACAAAGTGAAAGGAAAAAGGGTGCAACCGAAAAGAAAAGACGCCTAATGGATACCAGCTCTGTATAAAATATATCTATCGATCTATACATTATACCAACGTTAATACACTACAGTATTTACCATCCTAATTCCAAAAATTCGGTGCAGGAAAACGTTAGGCTGGTTGTCCGTGACCCCGGGCTCGCTTGCATAGTTGTATATACTTGTATGCATAATATGTTAATTTGTCATACATTCATAATAATAATAATATTATATTATCATATACCTAATATTAAATATATTATTTTATTATATTATTATCATATAATATTATAATTATGTACACAGTATTATACAATTATAGTATAATAATAAAATATTACCAATACGAATTTAAAAAAATAGAATACATTAATTAATGAATCCCGGTATCAATAGAAGATCGACGAAGATCGTAATAAAATATTTTACTTATAATATAATAATTTATATAATAAAATATTTATTATTCAAAGTCCAAATTCCAATTTTTGTTTCTCGTCGATCGCTTTGTGTGCGGCCTGCCTCTTCAGGTCAGTCGGTATGAATATTGTCAACAAGAACCCGAAAGTCAGCAACCCGACGATCATCATGTTGGCCGCCAAATCACCCATGGTGCTGAACACCCAGCTGTAAATCGACGTTAGGATGAAGCCAATCAGTTGGGTTCCGCCGTTTAATAGACCGCTGGACGTGCCTTCCGGAATTGGGTACGTCAATTCGATGGCTAACTCGTAGCCGACGGGTAGATATCCAGTCATGAACAGCCTGTATCGCATGTATGGTCATATATAAGTTATATTATATGATAGGTTAACCGTAAATGTTTTAATACACACTGTACAATTGTACATAATTTATATTGTATAATAATATATGTTACCGGAAAATATGATAATTTAGGAATTGTAGTAATTAGGTACCTAGTCATTGTTGACAATGACTGGAAAGGATAGGCAATGTTGGATATTTCTTAGTTTTATCAACATTTCCGTATTATATTTGGCAATGTTATAAATCAGTATTAAAACAAATATAAACACCTTTATCAGTGATCGGTCTGATTGTGGAACATAGTATGATCAACTCGGTTTTATGTTATCGTTATTCGTTTTTATTGCTTATAACTTATAAAAAAACTGTCAATACTATAGGTGTCGTTATGGACACTTCCGGGATGAGACAGTACTGCACTGGATTTAAATGAAATGCGCTTAAAATTTGACAACAACCCAATGTTATAATTAATTGAAAATGAACGTAATCCCAATAATTTTTTTTCGATAATGATGAATATTGTGAACGAATCGAAGAAATAAAACAACCCAAAATCACGCTGTCCACTGCTAAAAAAAAGTGAACGAAAGATTATAGAAATATTTGTAAGTAATATATTCTTGCTATCTGCAGTGGTAAAGATAGTCTTATTAAAACCATAACCAATAGAAAGCATAGGCGCAAATTGGGTGGGAGGGTTTGTTGGTGCTAAGCCCCTTCCCCCCAAAATCTAGGACATACAATTTTAATATGGTATATTGCTATGGTTTGCTTGCCTTTAATATATTCAGCCCCCCCCCCCCCAAGCCAAAAGTTGAAATTGCGTCTATGATAGGGAGTGAGCGTTATTACTTATTTGTTTATTACGTACAAAATGAAGACTATTGTTTGATATCATTCATTCTACACATATATGTATACAGAAATCTTTCATAGAAGCCGAGACCTGAGATGTCTGAACTTCAATTAAAATATTCGAGTGTGACAAAGGAAATAATAATGGTTTAAAAAAAAAAAAAATCAATGTAATAAAGAATATTTAAGATTATGATTTATCCTAAATAAGTATTATAATATATTATTTGATTTTTAATTTTTTCATCAATGCCTTCTTTTATTAGGAATTGTCATAAATTACTAGTTACTGACGTTCATTATTCCTTACTAAATTAGGCATTATCGTTATTAACTAGTCTGCAATATTGTCAACATTGGCTAAATATCATCTTTTCCGGTAACATATAAAAAATATTTTATGCTTATATAATACTAGTTGGTCCCGCGAACTTTGTCACTTTTAAAGAATTACAATACTTTAAAAAAAAATTAGATTGTTCAACTCCTTTTGGGATCACGGACAATGTGCGACAGCAAATTATAAAGTAGACAATAAGTGAACATTTCATTTGATGCATGCTTGTACCTGATCTGCCCAATTAACCAATGGCAAACAATAAAATAATAAATACTAATTATTTCTCCTATAGCCAATAACAACCATTCATAAACAAAAATGTACACTGGAAATCTCAAAATCCCTGTTTGAGCACCTCCCAAAGTTGGACCTACCTGGTCCAATTGTGAATATAAATCATCCAGGGAACCAGTCAATCAACACATGAAAAATGTCAACAAAATCGGTCCAGCCCTTTAAAATGCCTTGGAATAATAATTACGATTTAAAAAAAAAGGTCACTCTGCTGTACAGTAAGTTACAAGTGGTTCACTGTATAATGGATGGTATTAAATTTGAATTCAATGACATAATATCATTGTATAAGAAAAACGATTCTGAGCGAAAAAGGTCAGTCAGACTATGATATTACCAAGTATATTTGATGATATTATTGTGAATAAAGTAATTTATATATTTACCTATTTACGTGGACCCTTGTTTTAAACTTTCAATCCTTAGCTATAAAAGTTGAACATTTTATACATTTTTAATTACAAAATAATTATTAAATTTTAAATATTATACATTTTATCAAAATTCAAACTTTAAATGCTTATAAAAGAAATTGTGCCTATATTGTATTTTTAATATGTTTCAACTGCTATTGTTACAATATATCACGAGCCCTGCATTACATTTTCACGCCTTTTTTACCCAATAAATAGAATTTTATTAATAGGTATTTATAGAAAAAAAGACTAATAAAATTGGAAACTGAAAATATTCTTAAACAGCTCAAAAAGAGTCAAAATATTTTCAAATTTTTATGGTGTATAAAAAAAGAAAATATAAATATTCAGTGAAATTTTCATGTATCTACAGTTATTCGTTTTTGAATAACAATAAAATAATAAAACCTCTACTTGAGAAATCATCGAGTGAATATCTAATATTGTAAAATTATGAACTTCAAACGCTCATAAAAAATTTGATTTGCTTGAAGAAATTTTTTTTTTTATAAAGATAGATAAACTTATGAGTAATCTTGTATTACATTTTCAAATCTTAGATTTAAAAAGGAAAATTCTTAAGAATTCTCAACTCAATATAATTTGCTAATTTTCGTGATTTTTCGGTATTTTGTCAAGATTTTAACTTTAAATGTTTATAAAAAAAATTGTAGCTAAGGATTTTTAATAATTTTTGGGTTTCTACACGTGTGTGTTGTGTTTGACAGAAATTTTGATTGGGCACCCGTAGGTATCTGCCATGCCCGGGTGGGAGATGGCGGCACTTGTTCTCCGGACACAATGACTTGTCCAAAGAAAAATGCCGCCCGTGGTCAAGGAATCGAACTCGGATCGGCTGGGTTGCAGCCGACGCCTTAGTCCTCTTGGCCACTCCGTCCCCCAATAATTTTAATAATAATTTATTAAAACCAATAGCAACCATTTACAGAAAAACTTCTTAAATCTCAAAATCTCTGTTATTTGAGCACCTCCCCGGGTCGGACCTCTAATTTACCCTTTCTAAATTAGCCTTCCCAGAGGTCTTAATATATCTCTGTACCAAATGCCATCGCAATCGGTTGAATGGTTTAGGTATGCATAAAAGACACAAACAACACAGACACACAAACATTCATTTTTATATATTATATTATAGATTGACAAATTATCATACATATGATTTTATGCCGGGTAGGAAAAATATATTGACAAAATATGATGAAAAAGAAAGTATTCAAATACGACAATACATATAATAAGCGAAAGCGGAAATTTGGTGAAATTACTTGTGGGGGGGGGGGGGCTGAGGATTATATTCCCATTACACCTTTAGGTAGGTACTACTGTGCCTTTATGCTCATTACACCTATATAGGTACTACTGTACCACTCTTAATTATACATTTTTTTGACATAATTATAAAATGTGTGACTTTAAGCACTCAATATAATATGCGACGAAAAACAAAAATACTTAAAATTAGTCGATTATGGTGACTTCCAGTTTTGGAGATATTGACAGTAAAAATATTCATAAATTATAATTAGTTATAAAATATCATATAATTACATAATTTCATCGAAACCAAGACGACGCGCAACGCTTAGTCCCTTCAAGCCCTAGTTCCGCCTCCTGCCTACGATCATAAATTCATGACGTTTGTATTAAAAGTAAAAAAAGTTAATAATAAGTATTAAGTACAAAACAAACATTTAACAAAAAACTAATACATATACTGATTGGATTATGAATTGCAGAACATTCAAATGTTATAGAGTCAAATTATTTAAGATAAATTAACTAAATCTATTAGATTAAAATTAAATAATGTTAGATAAACTATGGTTAAATCCACTTGGCGATTATCACAATGGTAATACCACTGACTAACACATTTTGAAACAGTGATGGAAGAAGAACAATAAAAATTTTTACCGAAGTTTCGATCTAGGGATCACTTACATCACCCTATTTAGTATGCCCCTCCTGTAACATGGTATTCTTACTACTATAACACGATATTCCTTTATCATTTAAGAAACAAGATACAATGATAGGTTGTTTCTGGTGACCAAACTCACCCCAATAACGAAGCCGTAATGTATATTATCCAAATAGATTGACCGTGCGACAGGCTGAACGTATAGATTAACATCGAGATCAATGTACTGCCGTAAACCATCAGAGTCGTCTGTCTGTAAATATGAATCACTTTATAATATTTTACTCTTAAGTTATTATAGGGTTAAATTATTATGCCAGATATACAATATAGCACCATAGCACACATCTAAATAAAATTCACAAAGGTAGGTAAGGTAAAAAATAAGAAATCGTTTTTTTAAATATTATATTGAATATATTATTGTATTACTTCATACTTGGGTTACTTATGTGATAAGTTTAATTAATTGTTTGGGTAGTGAATTGATAAAAATGTGTCTTTAAAATGTAAATATACTATATTAATAGCTAAGTACGATGCCAAATTTTATGTTTCCGCGGGGCCAATTTATATTCCCAGTCCACCCCTGATGTGGTATGTCATATTATGTTACACTAATTTAAATAAATGATTTATGACTTTCATGAAGTCATAGAAATTTCAGTGGTGGAATATAATAGAAAATTATATTTTTAATTTTATACTGATAAAGTGATAACTGATTAAACAGCTTCTACTACGCTAGTTTCAGCTATAAAGCCACCAAAAATCAACTTTAGTTTAACATAATGAAAGGTCTTGTTTTTTTTAAAACCATCCTAATATCAAGTAATACAACACTATTGTTAATGAATTTTATCAATGTACATAATATATAATTAAACTTCCAAATTCCAATCCTAATTTGTATATTTTAACTCGAATATCATCTATAACTGGTATATTCGGTATGGTCATTTACGAGATTTTATATATTTTCTTCGTGCAAGTATGCAATGAAAATAAATTTACACTAAACGCCTTCTTTTTTTTTTGTAAGTGGTAAATATGAAAAAAAACTGGACAAACTTAACGGATGTGTAAGCCATAAATGCCCAAAAAATAGGTATTATGTATATTATGAAATTAATGTAACTTCTATAGTTATTTAAAATTATAATTTTTTTTCTTCAATTTTTATTATTTTCTTAATTTTTTATTGAATAAGTTATTATTAAAATTTAATTGTATGTAAAAAATAATATGCTAATAGCCTAAGTACTCAAAGCAGAAATTTATAATTTCAAGACCAATAAAAAAAAAAAATTATAAAAGTTAATGAATTTGAAACGTTATATCTTATTGTTTCATTAAAATATTTATATATTTAAGTAGGGTATAATATCATAAAATTAGTAAATACGAAGCTATTTAAAAAAAACTTACTAAAGACCTAAAATTTCCCCGAAAGTCACTAAAAATGATTTCATATTAATTGTATTCCTTAAACTAAATTGTTTTTTATTTATCATACAATATAGTAGGGCTAGGACTTATATGCAATAACAAATTGTAAAATATGCTTTACTATTATTACTTACACCAAAATATGCAAAATATGCAAATACAATATTTTTTTATTTCTCTATAGTCTATAACATTTAATATGTTTTGAATAAAAACCAGAAACTAATTATTAATTATAAATTGTAAATAGGTAGTTATTATTACATTGCATATTGCTGTAATGATATTATGTTATTTTACATTTTTAATCACGAATGATCGGTGGTTAGAACGAAGAATGAATTTATATTGATTAAAACTCCTCGTAAGTTGTAGATACTAATAAACAGCAAAAACAATGTAAAGGTAATTCGGTTGTCTGACCAAGATAAGATTAGATAGTAAATTTACAACAATTCAACAAATCCCAAAAATTATAGACGCACTATTAAATAAATACCATTTTAAAATTCATACATTTTGATTTCAAACTCTGATACATCAACTAAATCAGTGATCTAATTAAGAGGTTATTATAACATGTGTTAAGATTGTTAAAACGAGCTCTTTTTAAGCATTATTTAGTATTCTAAATACCGTTGTATTGGCCGTTGTACAAATATAAATAATTAATTATAATAGTACTATATATTTATTTATAATATTCTGATTTCTTGGAATGTATTGGTGTTTGCTGATATATGGCGTGAGGTAAGGTCAGGTACAGAGGTTAATTTATGATTAAATTTTATTGAGTAATAATTATACTAGGTACCTTCTACCTAATAATTAATAGTTATTAGACAATTATATAAAACATATAGGTATAAGATAAAATGTTACCTACGTTTAGTTTATATTATAATAAGTGTCTTACTTATAGAGATGTGTTTTATCTAGAATGTATCCACATATAATCGAACCACCTAGGCCACATAGTACTAATGTTAAGCCAATTCGTCCGACGTCTTTTTCGTGACCCTAAAATAAAATGATAAATGCACCAAATTACTTTGAGTTATTTTAATACTAAGCTTACTCACTGGGAAATAGAGCAAAATAAATTGGTTGAGCAAAGTTGATATAGCAAAAAATGCACCGACATTAATACCGTAAGATATAAGCAATAAAATGTATCCATTGTTTTTTAGCAGTTCTTTAACCGAGCTCATGAATACGTCTTGTAATATTGCCGGGTCGTCTCTTTTTTTTCTTTGTACAACTTGGGCATTACTTGGGGCTATATGTGGTTCGGCTTGTATAACTGAAATAATACAACGTTTGGTTTTGGTGAAGACAATTTTAACAAAATATACTATTCAACTTGAAAGCGTTCACTCAATAATTACACTTTATAATCAAAACATTTTTTAAGATTAAATTTTCATTTTTATGATACACACACACACATACACACATCAGTGAATAATACTTACTCCAAATAACTAAAAAGAATACTAGAGTGTTCAAAATAGCAAAGGATATAAACATTTTCCATAAATCATATCCTATTTCTTCTAAGTTGTCGCTATCCTGTACTATCATCGGTGGTATTAAAAATCCAAGTGCTGCTCCTAGCTAAAAAAAATGGAGTAGATTAAATTTTAACCAATAGGTACGTTTAGTTGCTTTGTTATTTTTATATATATAATATATTATAAACACGCATGTACTTATAATATATTATTTAGATGTAGGTAGGCATATAATATTACCATCTACATTATGATATTTATCACCCCTTAAAATCGACGAACACATACTATTTATATATTATATTAGAACATTTTATACCTGTTAATATATTTTGTCAATTTAATATAAATTTAAAATTAATAATATTAGAAATAGAAAAATTTATTCGACAGTGTATATTTTCAAATATCTGAAAAAAATAAATTGTGAGCAGCAATAGTAAATTTTTTGTATACTAGGTTTTGAGTAGGTTTCTTCAACATGTTCAGTGGGACTATTATATTCTTGAAGAATAAATAAAGATAAAAATAAAAGTAAGGTACCATTGAGTAGGTCATTATAATGGATGTGTTAAATTTTAATTCAACAATAAATCATTGCATAAGAAAAATAATTCTTCGTAGAAATGGTATGTTCTTTATTTCTAAATATTCTTTATAATACCTACCTACTGATATCAATATTTTATTTTTCTAATAGTAATACTGCCGTTGAGCTAGATTTTCCAAGATGCCAAAATAATATCGCTCACATTATATAATAATAATTATTATATTTTATCACCTATTATTATTGTTTATAACTTATAAGTGAATACCGAATAACAGTAGAACGATGTAAGTACTAAGTACCTACCTAAATAGTTCTTGGCGTAAATAGCTTAAAATTAATCTAAATATTTTGAAAATAATAAGAAAATAATAATATACAATATGGCGAATTATGACAAGTCCCTACAATCATTTTTTGAGTTACAAATATCGTTAAACGTAATTAATTGTTAATTTTCGTCTATGTCTAATTTCGTTAAAATTTGAACTGCACACGAAAATTATGCTTGTGGATTTTCGATATTTTTTGATGACGGGGAGAACAACTTATGAAGAATCATTTATACTTGCTATTCAAACGCTTGAAAAAATTGTGTGACTGTGTATTTTCGATATTTTTAATCATGTAATAGCAAATTACGAAAAACCTTGATAACATTTTACTCACAAACAAAAATGTTATCATACATAAATCAAAAAATAATTAAAAAAGCAGACTATTTCAAATATCTATAAGTACGGAGCCTATATATTGTACCTATAATATAAAGAGCCAAAATATTTGAAAATTATAAAAATGTTAGGAAATGCTTATATCTATAACTAAATATTTTATGATAAATTCTCAACTGCAGTTATTCATTTTATGACAACAATAATACAAATTTTTTTTTTGTCGTATCTGGTGTGGGGCGAAAATGTCCATATTTTATTTTGTTTTCCCGATTACTTTGAAAAGTATTTTATGAAATAAATTTGTATCCCCCCCCCAAAAAAAAAAATCTCACCTCCACGAAGTTAAAGATGAAGCATTTTTACTGCTGTAATAAGTGTTTTATTCTTTGGACGAAAAAAATTAATAAAACATTTATAAAAAAAAATCATTGTTCTAAAAAAATATATTGGATAAGGAATTGATACGTACAGGATATGAATATGAAATAATAATTATTTTTATTTAATTTAAAAGATTATCTATTATTTAATATTTAATAGTATAATAAAAACTTTTAAAATGTAATTGTTTGGCTGTTATTTTATACAAATATTGGTAATGTCGGTTTATAATATGGGTGAAAATCAAAGGTTTGTGAGCTTCACTATAACCTATTTATATTATAACATATGTCATTTTACGCGACATTCTAATAATAAATATACTATAGGTAGGTAATCATATAAATAAATTCAAAGTAATCAAAAATGTTTTGATTTTCTATCTACTCTAATAATATTTTCATATAATTCTAAATCGATAACAGAGTTAAGTATTAATAGGCAACCATACACGCATTTAATACAAATGTATTGCTTTTCAAATGTTATGGTTTTGTTATTGATACACGGTAGTGCGGCTTAGGTGCTCATATTATAGTTATGTGGACCCATTTCTATATATTGTCCCCCTATTCACGGCTTAATATAAATGGACCTAATTTAACCAGATATACATTACCGTTACGAGGGCAATGTCGTTAACACTAATTATGGATATTGGTAACATCCTGTCAAAGGTTCCTTTATGAAAATATAACTACATAATGGTACTGGAAGATAATGCAGCAAAGTTAAGAAATAATGTAAGTAGTAAGTGGTACCTATACTTACAGTTTGTTATGATTTGTAGTGTAATAAATCAAATATTTACTAGATTATATAAACAGGATGTTATTTTTCTTGTGATCGTAGCATAATATTTTTGTATAATATGTATTAAAGGTCTTTAAATTATAGTAGAATAACATGACAGTTAACCTTTATTTTATTGAATAATTATACTTGGTATCAAAAAGGTATTAAAAATATACTATATCATACATGATTAAATAACATACATAATATCATTAAAAGTATAATGGTTTAATTAGTTAATATAGTAATTAGGAAGGTGCTATTTAGTTACTAATTTGAATGACGATATCTTATCACGTTCTACGAATGTAATTCTAATTAACGATTTTTAAAAAATATTATGAAATATCAAAACAATCAATTTAAATAAATAGTCATAGCCAATAGGCAATAAGTAATATACTCCACAAAAAAAAGACGAGCAAGTGGATAGGTACAGCTCTGCTCTGCTGTAAATTAGGTGTCGTGTGTGTCACTGTAATGGATGTATTAAATTTGAATTCAATAATATAAAATCATCGTAAAAGGTCTGCCAGCCTTTATTATTAAACAAATTATACCATATTTTATGATATTATTGATATTAAAGTAATTTATTTTAATATATTTTAACGTTGCAGGTAATACCATTGATTATATTAAATACTTGGTAGTATTTATAATCAGTAGGTTGAATTAATTTTTCCAAAAACATTGCATCTATACTTTAAAATTTTCAAGTATTCAAGAATAATATTTATAAGTTACATCAAAATAACTATTATTGTTAATCTTCGTTTAAATATCTAATTTTGTCCAAAACATGGTAAGATTAACCTTGTATTAAACTAAAAGAAATTTTATTGACATTTATAGTAAAAAAGTAAAAAAATTTAAAATGTCTATAAATAGATTAAAACGAATCAAAATATTTGAAAATTTTACCATGTATAGAAAATGATAAAATAATCATTTGGTGAAAATTTCATCTATATTTTATTTAGAGTTACAACTAAAAACAAATCGATTATGTCAAAAACTAGTTTTGCATAAAATGTCTGTTTTTTCTTATTTTTTTTGTTTTTTTGCCGACGCTTTTGGACCTATTTAGAATTTTTTATTCTTAGCGACGCAAAGTAATAAAGAGATTCACTTTGCTACCAGAAAATACGCTAAAGTTGAAACGAAGCTTTTTTTATTGCTCAAAAAGGCAGAGCCTTTCTTCGGGTGGAGGGCTAGACATAATTAGGGCCACCATATATTAATTAATTATTATATATACATAATATGGTATAAATTATTTATAATTTGAGTAAAAAAGAACGATAAAATAGTTATAATTTAAGTTAAGAGGCCCCATAGAAATATTAGCCCCGGGGACTTAAAATGTCGTGACTGAAATACTAAAACGTGAAGACAGAAAGAAAGAAAACACCCACATCATTGTAAAGTCAATATATTTATCGCTCCGTTGAGTATATAAAATGTTGGATAACGATAATTCTTACACAATACCGGATTTTATTGTTGTAAAAAAAATAACTGTAGAGACTTACAATTTTCAAAATCAACTAATAGGTAATACATAATCAATAATTAATCAAAAATTCAACCTACCATTTTAATATTACCAAAAAAAATTACAAACAGCAATATAAATGTATATAAATTATATACTGACAGACCGTCTTCGCTCAGAATCGTTTGTCACTATATACAAATATACAATGATCTATCATTGAATTTAAATTAAGCCATCCATTACAGCGACCTACTCAATGACTATAGGTACACTTGACACTTACAACTATACAGCTGAACAACTACCCCCGGTTTTTTTTATGGATAAATTAAATATTTTATTTCATAAAGTGAATTAATTCAAAGATATTTTGCTTCACTATATTTTGACTATTTCCAATGACATGATAGTATTAATTCTTAAAATTAACCACTTAAAATTATTAAATTAATTATGTGTTGTTAATTATTTATTTTACATTATTATATTATCGATAGTGTCATTAGATGTTTGGGTATGTAATTTTTGGGTACCTAAGTATTTGTTATTTTAATTTATTGCATTTGTTGACTTTTAGATTAATAATAAATATAAAATTAATTATTTATGGTATTGTCATTTTATTACAGATTGTTTTGATACCTATGTAGATATTTAACTGTTTAGCCTATTGAGATTTAGAAAAGGTTATTGATCCTGATTAAATGACTGCGTGTTTGTAGGTATAATATTAATGACACATATTTTCATTGAGTATACTAGGTAACTATGTGTCTGTGTTGTCCTAAATAGTTTTTATATGAATTCAGAATTGTATTATTTAGTGGGTACCTACCTACCTAACACAATACCTATTATTTTATGTATAGAGCGTGGATCACTGAATCCCCCCCACCCGTGCTCCTATATAAACTTCACTGAAAACGCGATAGTCCACCCTGTACTTGTGAATATTTGACAAGTCACCAGTTATTGATGTGTATTATTGTAGTATGGTTGCACCAATACGACTACATATTTATATAAGCTGTCATTATTCTAAATAGGTTTTGAACATGATTTGTTTAGTTTGTAATGGATTTCAAATCCATGATAATATGAAAAATATAATTTTTTAATTTTAAACTTATTTTTTATTGAATTATTAACTGTCTCACAAACTTTTGCTCCTTCCTAAAAAAGGTTAAGAACTATTTACCTGGTTGCCAAAAACTCCTAAAGAACATGCGGTGGAGACTTCGGTAGATCCAAACCAAACAGCTGCTAATCTGGACGGTAAACTCAGGATGAATGCTTGTGAGCACGCCACCAAACCTTGTCCCAATAGCGTGATCATAAATCGACCCGGCACAGCAGAAAAAACCTTAATCCATGCGCCCAGACATGTGCCGGCAGCGCCCATCACCATCGTCACTTTAAGACCCTAAAACATAATTACAAGCAAATATGTGACAAAACCGTCTATTCGTACATATTATTATATAGGTATAATACACGTTCTGCGTTTAGTTATTGTTGGTTAAACCATTTTATAATTTTGAAATATTCCAAAATAACCATTCATTTGTTCTGATTTCTTATAAATTTAATACCAGGTGTCAAGAAGTAACAGCAAATAATTAAGTGAAATTTGCATTGATTTTGGAACATTTAATAAATAATTAATTTACGATGGATATTTTGATGAATCTGGATTCATATTAAGAGAATATTATAAAGAATTTATTATTTAGGGTGGGAATTTATGTAGGTACTTTTATACATATCCATAGTTGTTTAAATAATTACACGAAAATATTTAACATAAAATATTGTTGGGCTGAAACTAAGTGTATAAAAAATACATTTATCAAATAAGGTATAATTAAATCAGCTAGATTGTTTGTGGTTAAATAATTAAATTGTGTAGTCGATTGATCATCCTGACAGCATTTGATTTGTTAATTTAAAATATTTGATTGCCTTGTGTAATGTGGACCGTTGCAGGTCTTCGTGAACAACAGGGGTCGGTAACCTTTTTGATGTCAAGGGCCAAAAAATAAATTTAAATTGTTCACTGATCACAATTTGAATATACATTATTTTATTTTAAACAAAAATGTACTGTCATATGAAATTTAGTTATATTAAGTTCATAACTGTCAAGTATAATAATTTAACAAACTATATATAAACAAAGTTATAATACTTAATAAAAAATGTCAACATTATATAAAAAAAAAATAAGTTAGGAAAGCTGCGGGCGTGTTAGTTTTCTAGTTTCTAAACTTTTTTTAATACAATGCAATTAAATATAAATCCATATTATACAATTTAAAAATAATTTTTTGGTAGCCTTTATATTTGGGACATATTGTTTTTTAATATTGAATACTATGAATCTACCTATATCAAATACACTCATATTTTGATTTTTTTTTAATACTGGCTAGTATAAATATACTTTGAATAGAACCGCATGCCTCGTGTGTTATAAAATCTTAATACAAACAATTATAACTATGTACTGGTAACTAACGGACGGACGGACGGAACCAGAATATAACTATATAAGGTGTTCTAATATTATAATTTGAAGTTAAAATCTCATTAATTAAAAAAAAAGGTGTTCTAAACTTATGTTTAGAAACCTAACATACAATGTAAATATGATTTTTGAATTTGAATATTATCAACCAATTTGCTAATAGTAGGTTTGATATTCGATGTGAAAATTCTCAATACAGCATTTAAGTGATCATCGGTTAATCATAAAAGCATATTTGCTTTTTCGATATTTGATTAGTGAAAAAGTTTGCTCACAATAATTATAATAATATGTTCTTCCAAACACATTCAATTTTTTTTAGCAAAATCAAATATTTTGATAAGTTTTGTTTCATGGAGACTCGAATAAAACTCTAAGTTATGACTTATAAGCATAGTGAAACTTGAAGGGCAGTTTTAAAACTTTGTCAATTTGTAACTCATTTTCTTCCTTTGTAGACTTTACAAGGTGTGTGCCTGCGGGCCACGCGTTATCAGTTTATCACATTGTTTCTTGTTTTATATTTTAGTGTGTGACTTTCAATAATTTATTGTTCATATACAAACTCGACCAATTAAACAGCTTAAAGTTAGTTCTTATTAATGTTAAGTTATAGATTGCATGCTAGATTCGTGCTACTATTAGATATTACTAAACCCGCAACTATACGAATCAATAATTTTAAAATGTATTACAATTTTTATAGGTATATGTGTCTTGCATATTTGTAGGATTTTATATAGTAGGTAGGTATATTATATATTAACGATTGATTTTTTTTTTACTTACGTGTGTTATTAACGAATACATTGTCAAAAGAGTAATAATTTAAATTGTCATTTAGGTAGGTAGGGACTGGTTAAAAAGATAAGACAGCTTAGCTATCAGATAAAATTTAAAGTTAAGTTCGATCGAAGCAAAAATACTTTTGAAAGTTTTTTGACAGAGAAAGCTACAAAAAAAAAAAAAAATAAATCGTACTTATAATATAATATAGAGTTGCATAATATTAAGTTACATATAGCACCTACCTAATTTATAATTAAAAAAATATTAGATATGTAGGTACAATTAATAACGCTGAAGCAAGAATGGCAACCAGAACTTTTTAGTCCAGTCCAATCACCAGCTTACCAACTTAATACAGCCAAATAATCATTATAATGCCACAACATTTTGCTCATCACCTTTTGCGATATAAACGAATAATACAGCCAAGCCCGGATTAAGGATCAATTGGGCCTCGGGGCACCATACACATTTTTATTATATATTTTGTGAAAATAGCAAGAGTCTTGAAAGAGTCTTTCGCAAGACCAAGACCAAGACCAAGCCCAAGATTTTGAAAGTCTTGTTTTGATCATCAGTAGTATGCATTAATACTTTTAACTAAAAAATACTTAATTTACAAGAGCTGAATAATTTTTTCTTATAACTACCTTTTAATATACTCAAATAGCTAAATTGGTAATCTAAAATGTTCAAAAAAAAAAAAAAACAAACAAAATTATTGGCAAACATAGTTCATTGTTTATAGTAATTTTTCGTGATATAAAATTGAAAGCAATTTTATTAATTTATCTACTATACCTACCTACTTAAATAATTTTTTTTTTTTTTTGAAAACTGTATTGGATGCGTTAAAAAAATATATTTTGGGGATAAATATAGGCCCCGGGGCCGGCCCCCCCTTTAATCAGGGCTTGAATACAGATAAATACCTAACAATCCTGGCAAATCCTTTGGTCAAAACGAAATTCCAAATTTAATGAAATAAAACCTACTATTCTCCAGAACAATCATTAGCACAGAAGAAAGAAAACGATACCAACTGTCTAAGAATAGGTCATATACTAAACTCATGGATATGCACCTGCAATGTCTCGTGAAGAGCATGCACTATAGATGACATGTGCTGTTATATTTTCCACCAAACACATGGTGGTGGTTGAATGTGCCACCAACCGTAGTACCATCAATCAAGAAACGTATCAAACGAATTATTTTAAACCCATGGGCTGGACCTTACAATTGCCTACTTACTCTTTTTATCGGGACTGAGTAACTGATAAAGTAATTTAGTATGAGGTACTTTAAGGTACTCATTAATATTAATAATATATTAGTAATATTTATCATTATTATTCATTATATCTATAATATAAAAATGAATCGCTGAATGTGTTGCTAAGCCCAAATCTCGAGAACGTCTGGTCCGATTTGGCTCAAAATTTTTTTAAGATGTTCGTAATTGCCAGGAGAAGATTTTTAGGAAAATTTACCGGAAAAGTAGGAAATATGGATGTAAAAAATACAACAATGGAGCAACAGTGTATTATATAATATTGGTTGCTATTGGTTAATCGGGCATGTTTGTTGATTTGTATTATTATTTTTTTGTCAATATATATAATATAAATATAATTCTACTGTGCGTATGTTGTGACTGAACTCCTCCTAAAAGGTTTTACAGATTTGAATGAATTTTTTTGTATGCGTTTGGGTGAAGCCCCGGATAATTTAGATTCATAAATTCACCCCCTAGGTCCAACCAGGGGATGGGCTCAAACGGGGATTTAGAGGTTTACGGTGGAAATTTTCGTTTATAAATGGTTGCCATGGGTTTTAAAGCTATAATAATAATAATTATTGGTTGCTGTGAAATCAGTGTATTCATTCAATGCATTGAATTTTTTTGTACTCTGTGTTTTGATATTATATGTGTCGCAATTACGTATATATTGAACGTATTATACTCACATATAAGTTACGTACATAAAACAATGTCACGTCTCCGTGGATAAGGAGGAAATATACTGCTGCGAATCAGAATTTTTATCCCAAACAACAGAAGAGTTGAGATAAATTTTGAACACCATACACCGAATATTAAATAACGAATTGAACAAAGTTTGAGTCATGTAAAGTTGGTACATTTAACGGGAAACGAAGTGCACTGGATCAGCTAGTATTTTATAAATATGAAATATTTTATCATAATATGTACATTTCTCAATGGTGATGCTGCAGGGGGTTATTCTAATATGACAATTTGTATATATGTAATATGTATATAATTTAACTATGGCTTGGTTTTACCTGATAATAAATTATAAATAATAATAGGCATTGAACGCGTTTCATTGAATATTCACCACAATGAGGTCTAAAACCAATTTTGGGGGTGGAAATATTGTCAATTGATTGTCGACCAATTATAACCGATCGCCGGATTTATATTATATATTATGTGTATTGTGTATTTCGTATAATAAATTATGGGAGATGGTAATAATGTTTCTGATTCTGGTATTTACGTCATCATTGACGTCTATATGCAGTCGCATTAACAATGGACAACAACCACCATGACTATATTTAGTATTCACCACCTACAGCACAGTCCACCATCAACCAGCCAGGGGATGTTTTGGGCTCTCAAACGACCCCCCCCCCCCCTTCATCCACAAGTATGCAGTATTTACTACCTATATGCAATAAATATAATATTATGTAGGTACTATATGATACAGATTTATATAAAATATGTTGTCATATGGTTCTATTTCATAGGTATTTTATGTCATTAATATAAAGATTGACGACAACAGTGTACTGTGATCCCTCCACATGTTGTACGTATGAATATAAAAATAAAACACCCCCTTGAAAACATCCTGGCTGCGCGCTTGACCACCACCGACACAAAAACAACGACAACAATGACGACGAACGAACGCAATACAACACTAACCAGTCGGTCAAGAACCCAGGACGCCGGTACGACCAGGGGCACGTACACGATCATGTATATGGTGGAAGTGGTGTCTATGGCGAAGTTTGACACACCGTAGAACTTGACCGTGATGTTGGATATGATGCTGTACTGTATCCAGTGCACGGCGTTGGCCATGGAGTACAGCATGTACACGACCAGAATTATCCATCGGGCCTTGTACAGCCTCAGGTCGTCTTGCTGGAGGCCCATCACCCGAGCGTCGGGCGGCAGCGGCTTGTCCACTTTTTGCATAACCGAAGCAAAATCGGCCATCGCTGTACGCGCGTCTCACTGACTGCTCGCCGTATCGCATCAATGCGAACGGGCACGGATATTATTCGCGACTGCGGCGGGATCGTCTCGTGATCTGGTCCACGTATAATCGTTTTAAACGGTCGCAATCACGGTCGCTAACCGCAGTACCTACCAATTTATAATCCACATAGTATAGAGGGGAGAGGGGGGGATTCAGCTGATTTCACCTAATCGGACGTAGGTATATATATAGAGAAAAAAAATCATTTGGGATGTACCTATTTATTACGAGACCGATTTGTGTGGATAGATCATGTGGCAAAATAAGAAACATTTATAGGTATACTTATAGGCAGGTACCTATTATAGTTAGGTATGCATTGCTTTGACTAAATAGAATATACAACCGTTGTATAATATTGATGTATAGGTGTGTTGTAAAAAATACCCCAAACAAGACGTATTACTACCTAAGTAAAATTAAATATATACTACTAGTATATAAAAGTTAAAGGACTCCAACGAAGTGGCGTTTCTACCATAGAACTTTTGAAAAATGTTCCAGAAGAAAAATACCCACTAGGTAACAAAAGAGTGTTCTAGGATACTTATTTAAATTTTCGGGACTAAATTAATTTTTGGGCACTTATGTGTGTGAATTATTGTACTCAACGCTTAAATAAATTCATGAAATCTAAATATCGATCTGAACTAACTGATGCAAATTTAAGTGAACTTGTGCGTACTGTGCTTACGAATTTTATTATCGGCCAGATTTATAAAAACCAACAGAAAAAATTAACACTCGAAAAAGCACTTCTCATAAGTATAAAACCTCATTCCTTGATGCGTATCTGAACAATAATGTTAATAATAATGTCAATAATTATACTATTCTGTGTAGTATAAAAAATAAATATTTGATTTAAATTTGACATAAAATAAAAAATGTGTCTTAATTTTATAAACATCTCTCAACATTGCGGCTCAGCTCAAATTAGCTTCATAAATTTGCGGCTCCCAAAATTAAGGTAAGTGGCCATCCCTGAGATACACTATTTAGTTTTACAAATTACTAAATTATAATATTATTAGGTACGGTTTATAAGGTCACAGATACATTATATTATTTTCCATGTAATTTTTAATTTTAAATATAAATATATGTTTTTTTTTTTTTTAGGTACTTGACAACTAAATTTAAACTATTTACAAAATATTACCTAGTTAAAATATTAAAACAGTAATTAAGATGAACACATTAATTTATTTATGAAAGTTCTTTTATTAAAATGGTTTCGATACCTACCGTCTTTAAGGAGTTTAATATAGGCAATTTTCTATGTTTTTTTTCGAGCGGGTCGTGTAAACATGTGCGTAATACTCGATTTTAAGTGTGAGTGGTTTGTGTGTAAAATAAATAGTAATGCGTTACCTTTCGTTCACATACATTTATCAATAACATAATATATGAATAAGAATTTTTTTTTTTTTTGCTCAAAAGTATCATCAACATAATTAGGTATTTGATCAAATTTCTGCAAACGTTTTTTACTTTGTCTTAGGTTTTTTTTTTTAAATAGCTTAATCACATTTTTTAAATAAGTTTCTCACTTCAATATTAGGTATTAACAATTGAAAATTCTTAATATTCAAAATTTAAAAAAAACTTGTTAAGTGGTATATTCTGCTGTATAGTAATTAGTAGGTTACAATGGGTCACTGTTATGGATGGTATTAATTTGAATTCAGTGATATAATATCAATAATATCATTGTATACGAAATACGGTTATGAGCGTAGATGGTTTGTCAGTCTAGGACATTGTTATTACTTATTATTAATATGGTAGCCGGTAAGTTGAGTTAATATTATAAAATTACAAAATTGTTGAGGTATTAAATAATTTATTAAAATAATTAAATTATATAATTATATTATTTAATTAGAATAGTTAAATTGAGGGATGGAATGGCCGAGCGGACTAAGGCGACGCTGGTTCAAAACCTCGGCCCCGGGTGGCATTTTTCTTCGGGCAATTCACGGTGTCCGGAGAGAAGTGCCGCCATCCACCCCCACCCGGGCATGGATACCTACGGGTGCCCACTAAAAAATCTGCCAAACTGTGTAAACGTGTTTAAAACCTACAGTATCCTCCCATACAGTAAAAAAAAACCACCCAATTGCCTAAGTTGCCGCGGGTTAATAAAAAAAAAAAATTAAAATTTTTAAATGTATTTAATTTATTTACGGGCTGAGAGCCCAGTATAATTTACAAAGATATTATTAGACCTAACTAAACTATAAGTGGGTTACACATACACAACTTTACGGATAGTTATTTCGTTACTAGATTATATTAATGTTAGTATAAAATAAAACAAGTAGCGGTAATGAGATAGGTAGATACAGCAATAATAATAAACATAATATATTAAACAATACATGTAAATAATCAACAATAATAATAACAATATCATCTGTAAAATAAATAGATATTAAATAGTGACGATAAGAGATTCTTATTTAAGCTCTCTGTGACAATTTTTATGATACCTACCTACCTATTAAGATATATTATATATTTAATTGTCTGCAGTTACGATTGTATGTATATGACTACTTATTAAGTTTTTATAACGATTCTATTCAAAGTAAATTCATACTAGGTAGCCAATATCACACAAATAGGTACCAGAATATAAAGTTCACCAAATTGTTTTTAACTGTACTTTATGGGATTATTGATTAATGGGTTGTATTAAAATGTATAATAGGTACCTTCGTTAATAAAACGGGAATCAAGCACACTCGCAGAATAAACTTTCCTGACTTTTTTAATTCCTCGACATAACGTTTAATAATAATTAACAAACCAATTATTCCTATGACAATAGTTTTCAAATCTTGTTGCTATGGTGAGCTATATTATAGTGTTTGAAATATTATATATTATTAATTTCTGTGTCACAGACTAGTCAGACCAAAGTATAATATTATTTATTGTTATAACGAACACTTACACGATTAATTCATTATATTCTAAAAGTTATAACCACGGTATATATTATAAGACCTTTTAACGCACTTTCCTTATATATAATAATTGTGTATATTATTATTAATGATCATGTCGAATACCGCTGCACTTTTATAAATAACGTAAATACATTTAGGTACTATGTAATATATTATATACCTACAAGTTTGTACGGTCGTTCTACCGCCAAGTAATATGGTCTTATTAAAACTCCGTTATCTCGAAGGTGAATTAACGATACAGAAATGAACATAATATCGTAAATGATAAATGTGCAGCTGAGGGTTTATTGTTGAAATTTCAGAACAAGATGATGTATTATTTATTTTGTACGGCTTAGGAGACTAGCGAGACTGTTCGACTATTCGAATACTCTCGGTTTTTTTATTGTAACCCGTGAAAAGATCTCTATTTTTATCGACTTTTAAAGAAAAATACTAAATAAAAAAATAAAAAAGCCAAATACCTATAAATAACTCTAAAAGTGTAAAAATATTTTGAACATTTTTATCGTGAACCGAAAATGTTAACAAAAGCATTTTGTGAAAAATTCAAGATTTACTCGTTTTTGAGTTACACACTCAGCATATATTAGATAACATAAGGTTAACATTCTACTAGCAACTCCGTGACCCATATAATTTCATTACCTATTGGTAAAGGGGCCTCACTCAAAGCGGTTGGCTTTTAGGAGTTTTTGCTCAAAAGCATGCCTTTAGCCTCAGGATTTGAAGAGTGATCTGTATTTGATATTTTTTTCTTGAAATAGAAAGACGTTTTACAAGGCGTATTGGACTTTGATTTTCAAAATACCATATACAATTTTGAATATGACAAATTTTCACTAACGATTTTTTTTAAAATTATTTTTGTTTTAAAAATGTAATCAACAATTGAAGTACAATTCACTCTGTAGAAAATTATCCTCTTTTTATTGAAAAATAAAAAACTAAGAAGGAGAGATAAAAAATAAAAATAAAGTTATTAGGTAGGTACCCTGTTATTTTTTATTCTTGGTTATCTTATCATAATATCGGAGTCCGTTGACTGTATCCGACTGAGTCGTGACTGTAGTCATGGACCGTTGACGTGGTATGCGGGTAATGGGCTTATTATGTAAAAATATAAGATTTTGGTGGTTATCATTTATTTTTATAACAATTCCAAAGTTTATTAAATTTGAAGTAGGAAAAAGTATTTGAAGGAAAGTAATCATTAGTGTAAAAAATATTTAAATTGTACTCAAATAGGTACTTAGAGATATTTAATAGTTTTTAGTACTTGAAAAATTATTTGAATACTGTATAACACTGGAACCTAGTAACTGGGTATAGCCACATTGGCGGAGTGGGCTTTTTTTTTTTCTATGAAGTGACTATTTGAAACAAGTACCCACCCATCAAGTGTCATGTAGATGCCTACACCCAACGATACCCCACCACCGAACCCAATTCTTAAAAGTACAAAAGTTATTCGTAAACTATAAACGAGTCTATCATTAATATACAAACCCCCCACTTTTACACGAAGCCTTCGCTCATGTATGATGTTTATTGTGATTTTTCAAAGATTAATGATGTACACGAAGAGATTCAAAAACTATAAAACAATTTTAAAAAGTTTATCACATTTTGTAATTTTTTTTTTATGATATGTATGTTATATTTGGACGTTGAATATTTATGAATTATTTATGATTCATATGTCATATCTATTCATATTTCATAGATAGGTACCAAATAATATTAAAATTGACAGTAAGTATTATGTATTGTAGAATTGGTATTAACACTTATTACAACTGGAAAATAATTGGTAGGATAGAAAATGTAAGATTACACAGTTATAACATAATACATTGGAATGAAAAAAAAAATTAAATTAAACTATGCATAATGTAATCCTAGAAGTATAAGTATAGGCAAACAAACAAACATAAAATGAAAAAAAAAGGAAATTCGAACTACCCAGTGATAGA